GCAAATAATAATAGCAACAACAACAAAAATCATGTAAAGCAAAGGTTAACATCAAATGGCTAAGCAAGTGTGAAAACAAATCCAAAACGTGACCTCCAACTGTGCAAGAGTGCGGTAAGAAATCGAGGTGAGGTGAGTAGCGCTGTTGTGTTCGAGCGCTTGCGCGCAAGCGTGTATTCACGCCAAAAGTCGTCTGCATATGCCAGTCGAGACTGTGTATAAATGTAGTGTTTGGCTGTTTGCTGGCTGTGATTAGTGCCCCCACGCACAGTACCAAAGAACGACATACTGAGGCCGACTGCCTATCTATATATGGCATAAGTAGGAAAGCCGGACAAACGAAAAAATTAAATAAATTTTGTAACGTATTTGCAGATCAATAAAATGCTATATTTTTTTTATCTTTTAGTAAATGTTACAAATTCAAAATTTTGCGCTATGTAGGTAGTGGGTACCTAAATAAAATTATACGCACTTTTATAGCTACATATGTACATACATATGTCTGTAACTACAAAATATTGAGAAATACTTACATATATAGATACATTTAATACTGTGTAGATCTAATTAGCATTGATTAGCGAAGCATGTATGATATTTGTACATATGCATGGATCGGTAGCTGGTGGGATTTATAGAGTTTTTCAATTCAGTTATTATGATTTTAAACTAAAAAAAATTATAAATTGTTTACTTTGGAATATTGTGATTTCAAAAATTATCTGATAATGAAATTTCCATTTACAATTTAAAAAACGATTGAAAATTAGAGTTTAAGTAATGTGCATAAGTAGAACATACATATGTACATACTGAAAAGAACATATTAATCTATAAAACGGCAAATTGAGCAAAACTGAAAAGAAATCAACAACAAGTACTCGACTTAGTTTAAAATTAGAAATAGAGTTCCACTTTCACTTGTCGCACAGCCAGCAAGGCAAGCTGGCATGCAACCAATGTGACGCAGGCAAGCAAGTATTCGTGCGCAGACTAACCATAGCCTAGTCACCATAGCGGACGCAGGCATATTTCAAAAACTCAAAATGAAACCACAAGCAGCAACATCACCAAAGTGGTATTATCAGAAATGTGATTTAGCAATGCAATGCTTCAACGCCTTGAGCAACTTGTCAACTTGCGGCAATGCAATCGACCATCAGCCAGTCAGGCAGGCAGGCAGTCAGTCATTCAGACATACTGCTAGGCAAACAGCACATATATATGCTAAAGATAGCTGCCGTGCCGTGTTCGATAGCGGCAGACATTTAACTAACAGGCGGACTGGCAGACAAACAGACAGACAGAAAGAATATAACATACATATATATGTATGTGTGCAACTATTTATTGTAGCAAAGTGTCTGAGAGACAAACAGGCAGACACTTGGCACTTTTGTCACACGAAGCAACAATATTTTGAAAAAGCTTTATAAATGCAGTAATGATTAGCACATTGGAGCTGTTGAATGTAAAACACACATGCATTTTTCGCAAAAAGAAAAAAAATTGTAATCATTTATAGCAATAGTAAAAAGAGCAAAATTAAGAACTCATATGTGTGTGTGTATATGTAAATGTTTGTGTGTGTTATGGATTCAAAGCGAATGCGTCATCATCCTTATTGCCTAGCACAAGGCCCCGTCCGCAGTAGCTGCGTTCGTAGCATCAGCAGTGGTACCAGTAAGCGAGTGGAGACTCATTGCAAGTGATTGCGTCGACTTTATCAGCGCATTGGCATTGCTCATCATTGCAATGTACACTTTTGCAGTGCTGTCTTAGTCGTCTCCATGTCTTCGATTGCATTTCGGCTACTGTATCGGAAACTGCAACGCAACACATATAAATTTACATACATATGTACATATATACTATTAGGGTGGGTAAAAAAAAAAAATTAATGCTTTTATATTTTTGAAGAGCAGTAAATTTCCTACAAAACATTTAAAATTATTTTTTTTATGAGTTGTATTAAATATAATTAAAAAAAAAACCGCCTTAAAATAGTCAAACTTTAACTGTTAATATCTTTTAAACGTTTAGGTTTACGAAAAATGTGTAATAGACCTTTTTTGAAGAGCAATTCAATTTCCTACAAAGTCCACAAAACGAAATACTTTTGCAAGCAGTTGGAAGCGAGATATGAGTTTTCTATTTGATAATAAGAAAAAATACAAAACTGTAAGGTGGAAGACATTCTAGTTACAATTACGAGCTCATACTTGGAGCGGCTTTCTTAGTGGTATCTATCAATCAATTTTCAGAGAACCAAGAGGAAAAACACATTCGTTTTTTTACCTACCCTAATATACTATACTTTTAAAGTTTTGTATAAATATACATACATATATATATATTTATATAATATGACTACTGATTTTAGATATTGTCAATATCTGCTGTAGCAGCGTGTTATTTTGCCATACTCTGCTTCTAGGTACAATTAATTTATTTATTTTGTAGATATTTGGGTGTAATTATAAAATTAAAACAAGAAAATACGTTTACTTTTCGCTCCACGTGCATTTATTGTAGCATAAAAGTGTGTAAAAAGATATTTGTTTTGATTTTGATCAGTCATTTTGAAAGGTAGCTACATACATATGTACTATGTATATGCTGAACTTGAACAATTTCATCGAAGATAGTAGCGTTGCCTTCGAAAATCATCCATGCCAAATTTCGTTATAACATCTTGTCAAATAAAAAAGGTTTTCATACAAGAGCTTGATTATGATCGGTTATTTTGTATGGTAGCTATGTACATATATGCTATAGTGATCCAATCAAGACAATTTGGTCGGAGATTATAGCCTAACCTTGTACACTAATCTATCCTAAATTTGGTGAAGATATTTTATCAAATAAAGGATTTGATTTAGGTCGATTAGTTTGTATAGCAGCTATATTCTATAATGGTCCGATATCGACATTTCCGACAAATGAGCAACTTCTTGGGGAGAAAAGGACGTCTGCAAAATTTCAGAGTGATATCTCAAAAACTTGGGAACTGGTTCGCATACATATGTACATACAAAAAGGCAGACCTGATTAAATCGACTCAGCTCGTCATTTAGATTTTTTATATATATATTATATAATACTTTATAGGGTCTCGGTTGTTTCCTTCTGGGTGTTGCAAACTAAATCTCAAACTTAATATAGCCCGTTTAAGATAAAAAAAATTATGAGATTAATACTTTTCTAGCATTAAATGGTAATATTTTGAGCTCGGCGGAGAAACGATGTCAAAACGAAAGTCACAATTGCGCAGACCGTAAATTTTGTCCACTGATATTCCAGTTTTAAAGGTTTTTTGCACAAATTTGGAAACAGGCAATGAATGGTATTTCTTCTATGAAAACGCTTTTTACAAAATCCAACAGCCATTCGGAGGTCACTAGTTAGACCATCCTTTTGACAGATATAAAAAAGATTAGTAAAAAGTAAGTAGACATGCATTGGGGGGAGTATTAAGAAAATTATTTGAAATGTTTATCCGATTATTTTAAGAAAGCTGCCGATTTGCCGCTTCTTGGCAGGATATAAATCTGTGACATTTCCCATAACAGCCAGTTTAACCTTACCGAAATTGTACCGGATTTTATATGGCCAAGAGCTGTGATCTAACCTTGTTTGGATCGGTAAGTAATAAATTGTAGTTGTGGCAACAATCTGTGCAATTAGTCAAAAATATCATTGACTTAGCGTTTACAACTGAAAGTTCGAGCAATACATAGGCACATACAATGTATGTACTAATGTCTGAGTATAATTTAATCAAGTACATAACCATATAAATATGTTGATATGATAAAGTTATCATTTATATTAGTTTTATTTTTATTTTTGTATAAACTCAGTATTATATTATTCTATTATTTGTGCGTTAATTTTTATCACTTTGCTTTCTACATTTTCGCAAAAAATCATTTCATCGGCTGAGTGACATCATGGCATGAAATGTATTTAAGTAATTTATTAAGTTATTTTTGGTTAACATGCACACAATAACGATTTTGTTATACTTATTGTTTTAATATAAATTTCTCAACATAAATCTGATAAGCAATCGTTAGCCAAATTTGTACTAAAGTGTTTATGGCATAAAGATTTGTGAAATGTCCACCAGAGTATGATTACGCATTTATAGGCAAATGCTGAAGGTCGGTTCGGGATATGTGTGAGTATGTTTTTTTTAGGTGGGTTACGCTTTTGTTTAAAAAATCGACTAATTGAGGAATTTCTGTAACTGTATATAGTTGATTTCTTTTGATGACGAATTCTCAACACATTTATTTCTTTGAATAATGTTATCAATATTTGTGTCGTTTTTCATTGTTTTGATAAAATAGGTTAAATAATTGCAGGTGTAGGTTGTATAAGGTGAGTGTACATGTTAGTCCACTAATTTGCAATTGAATAATTAAAATAATATTTTATTAATTCATAGAAAATTTAAAAGTAAGCGAGCTTGTGCCAAGCATTTCTATACAGAAAAATACACTGCTTCCAACCAAATTGTGCTTCAGTATATTTAAAATTATTATATCGTTAGTTTATACTATTGGTTCATTTATACAGGGTATATTAAATTTACCTCGAAGTTTGTAACATCTCGAAGAAAACGTCAGAAACCTTATAAAGTATTGTATATATAAATGATCAGTGTGATGTGCTCCGTCGATTTAGCTATATCTGTCTGTATATACGACAACTTGTCGCTTAATTTTTGACATATCGATCTCAAATTTTGCACACGTCCTTTTCTTCCCTAAAAGCTCTATCGATCAAAATCAAGTTCTTATATGAACAAATTTTTTATTTGACAACTTACCTTCACGAAATTTAGAAAACATTATTGTCCAAAGCAACGCTAAAATCTCCCAATATATTGTTGAGATCGGACTACTATAGCATATAGCTGCCATACAAACTGACCGCTCAAAATCAAGCAACAGTTCTTATTATATCCTTTAATGCTTTAAGAAAAGCATCTGTGAAGGGTCTTATTGCTTCGGTGCAAGCGAAGTTAACGTTTTTCCTTACTTCACCATTTTTTTTTTTTTTGATATTCCTCATGTGCCGATACCGAATGCTTACGATGTGTCATCAGCGGCGAAAATATGCGACAGCAGTAGAGGCAAATGTGGTTTCTTATCGCGTTGCAGACATCAGTGAAATATTTTTACACAATTAAACCAACTATTGCGGCGGTGCCCTCCCTCACATAATGTGCGCATATTTTACAAGACGCTCACATTTTACGAGCAAATACACTTGCTGCGAACACTTGGACTGTCGCTATATCCACTATAAGTGTATGGAACGGCATGTAATAAATGCAATAAGTGTATTTTTTTTTGTAAAATAATGTAGACTTTTCAAAATCGTTATTTTTGTATAAATAAAATTAGTCGTTTAAAATTTGAAGCTGGCGCTGTTAGATAATAAATACGGGTTAATATCGATAAACATGCTGTTACACTGTCATCTCCTGCATTGAAAGTAAATGTCAAACGTATAATTAATCACATTCTAAAACGAAATAATTTGCTAAATGTGTGAAAATTGCAATCGCAATTAAACTTGAAATATTTTCACGTTGCAGCATAACGCTTGCCACGCTTTAGCAATGTTGTCATCCACGCTGGCTTTTGCTTGTCTGCCGTTGTGTCCGCCTTGTTTTGGTATGCAATGGAGCGTTATTAAATGGCTATTGCGCGTGCAAATACAGAATTTATGATGCCCGTATTTTTATTTATGATTTCATAGACAAATTAACAGCAAATTGACAATATCAACGAGTGCAGTGAATGCATAGAGTGTAACGGGCAGTGTGAAGTGCACGGAAAGTACAAATTTTTTCGATTTCACTCTAAAAACTAGCAAGTTACATGTTTACAATTAGATTTTACTATTAATAATCATTACGTTATTGTAACATATGATTAGGGTGTCCACGGCACGGTTTAAATTGAAAATAAGAACAAGAAAAAACGTTAACTTCAGTTACATGAAAACCCTTCAAAAATATTGTATAAAAGATTCCTTATAAGAATTTTGATCGGTTAGTTTTTATAGCAGCTATAGCAAGCTGTAGTAACCCGATCTAAACAATTTCTTCGGAGATTGTACCATTGCCTTAGGCAATAATCCATGCTTAATTTCTTGAAGATACCTCGTCAAATGAAAAAGCTTTCCATACAAGGACTGGGTTTTGATCGATCAGTTTGTATGACAGCTATATATTATAGTGGTCCGATATCGGCGGTGCTGACAAATAAGCAGCGTCTTTAGGATGAAAGGACGTATGCAAAATTTCAGATCGATATTTCGAAAGCTGAGAGACTAATTCACGTATTTGCAGACAGACGAACATGTCTAAATCGACTCAACTCATAATGCTGATCATTTATATATATAATATATTATATTTTTATAGGGTCTCCGACGTTTCCTTCTGAGTGTTACGAACTTCGTGGCAAACTTAATATAATCCGTTGAGGGCGTAATGAAGAGCCTGAAATCTTCAGAGGGTGGCAGCAAAAAATGAATCAACTAAGGAAATAACGGACACCCTAATATACATATGTATATACATATGTAACGCTAATCTGTTGCTTGCAAGTGCATTTGGTTTCATTGTCTGCTACATTCTCGTGCTAAATGTCAGAATTTTATATCAGTAGCTGTATATATATACATACAAACATACAGAGTAAAGTCGTGCTGCACACAGATGCATATGTGCATATGTATTTATATGAGACTTGTTGCATATGCATGAAGTGGAGAAGTGTGCTTTATCTCAGAACAAGAACTGTATGCGGTCGTTAAATGCCAATGCTGACTTGTATCGACTTCCGTATAAGAGTCGACTAATGTTGTTATTTGTATACTTATCTTGGTTATGTATTTTTTCTTGAATGCTAAGTATATAGGGTTATGATTTTGTAAAGCGTGGATTGCGATTGAATTATCTCATTATAAAAACAGACGCCAGCAAGTAAATGCACATTTACTAGTCTGCATATGTTTAACCATACCTACAAGTATAAACATGCTAACATGTTGATGTTATCCAACCAAGGCATATATAAGATTTGAACCCACAACTTATCGGTGGCAGTCATGCATTATGTTTTACCGTTATCTGTATGGAAAACTATCAGCAACTCCCTATACATACAATTTAAACTATCAAACTGTGTCAACCAAATTTATTGAATAACCAAAATTTTATGGTTTTTACCTTATATACATATGTATATATGTATACAAGCCCATTGATTTAACATCTTTGAATGCGTTGTTTGCACAACAAAAATTATGGCAACACGCAAGACAGTTTTAAACGTTGAAAAAGTGGGTTAGCGGTGAACAAATAACATAAATAGATACATATGTAGGTAGGTAAAAAAAAGAATAAGGAATATTAAAAAAGTCAAAACTTATAACTTATTGTTTAAATATTCGTATTGTTTATCTATTCAAGCGATATGTAAAATAAGTAATATTGTTTATGAATTTTTTTATATTTTTTCTCTAAACGCCCATTTCCTATTTTGTTATTTTGACTTTTCCCTTTAATAAAAAGCTTTCATTCTGAAAACTTTAATTTTCATATTTATCGAAACTATCTAGTATTCCTGTCAGGTCAAGAAATATTAAAAGCGATCATGATTTCATTGACCTTGAAAAATGGAATGGAGAAATTAATTAGCTTTGTTTAAAAAAAATAATAAGGTCATCTTATTTTTATTATATTTTTGAGAAAATTATTCTAAATTACGAATTATGGAATTATAAATACCATCTGATCAAATTTGACTCGAACTGGTCCATTTAAAACAAAATTTAAACTGCGCGCGCAAACCGAATATAATTTTTTCTAGATTGGTGCAAGCGTTGTTTATCTTCGTGTGAAGTTTAATCTCCAAATGTCAATTAGTGTGCTTTTGACAGTTGTTTGTTTACGATGTGAAAAGTTTTTATAGCAATTTTTACCATGAAAAATTTGAATAACGAATTTGCTTGCAATTTTATGTTTCCAATTAAATCACCGCTACGAAACCGTTGAAAATGGTGCAGAAGTGTTTTGAGGAGTCTACTTTAACACGAATACAAATATTTTAGTGCCACAAAGCATTCAATGAAGATCGTGAAGTCATCGAAAACTTCCCTCATGCAAGGCGTCCATCCAGCTCTGTACATTTAAAGAAACAGTGCTTAAAAATCGTCGTGTTGACAACAGAGATATAGCAGACGATCTCAACATCTGCTTTAGATCGACTCAACATATTTTGATTAATGTTTTGGGTATGAAGCGTGTCAATGCTAGAGTCGTACCAAATAGACCTGTAACTTTTGCAAATATGACGTCGAGTAGAGGTTGCAAAAGAGATGCTTGACAACATAGCTGGAGCAGAGAACTTAGAAGTAGAATTTAATTGAATTGAAATTAAAAAATTATTTAAAAATATCATATTTTATTAATTTTTCATCATTAAAATCGTTTATATGACAAAAAATAATCACGCATATGTGAAGCGGCATTTGTATTTTTTTTTTAAAGTATTTGATTTTTCTCTTTATGTTGGTAGATACGTATTTCGGCTAGAGAATTATAAGAATAAATTCTCATTTCTCTTAAATAACAGCGAATACCACAGAAAATGGTGAATTGTGGTGCTTGGAATTTTCAGCTCTGTTAGCCGTCCAATCGAGCATCATACCAAATTCAATTTGCATCTTCTCGTCCATTTACGTTCTCTGGCTGAAGACCCTACATTCACTAAATGCATGATTAGATTATATGAACATGCGTCGTTTTAACAATCTAGCGAATGGCACTCCAAAAATGAATCCGGGTCAAATTTGATCAAATGAAAAAAAATACTATACATTATATAAACAATGTTTAAAATGCTCCTTCAAGTTTGTTTCTTTATTAATAGTTTGCACTCGAAAATTATATATATCATCTTTCAAGCTGACATAAGAGTCATAAAGATTTAATAAGCTAACTTTGATGCACATCCAAATGTAGGACGTGTGCGTATATATATTGTATATACAGAGAGTTGTTAAAACTCTTACGGAAAAATTGTCGTAGGTTAAGGTTTTTCATATGACACACATATCAATTACCATATATAAATTACAACTTTGCGGTTAACGCTAACGCTGTTTTGACACTGAAAATTTGAAATGAACTTGTAAAAAGATGTTTCCACACTGCAAAACATAGAAGTTTTTTGTAAAATAATATGTACAAATAAAATTTTTTTTAAAAAAAATATGTAAAAAATAAATGACATAAAAAGCTCACAAAAAAGTTTATATATTATTTAAAGTCGATAACAGCACAAATCAACAACAAAAATGTAGCAAATGTATATTTTTATTTTAAAACAAGTAAGGAAGGGCTAAGCTCGGATGTAACCGAACATTTTATACTCTCGCAAAGTCAAATGGTATACTCGTTTGAGATTTCTTTGTGGATTGATTGATACTTTAGGTAGAAGGTCAACTATAGACACTGGGGTCCACATATTTAGTACTTAGGAGCTTCAACATTTTTGGTTCGATTTAGACAATTTTTGGTCACAAGGTGGCATACTTTAAACGTATTATTCACGCAAAGTTTTACCCTGATATAATCATTGTTGCTTGATATGTAAAGTGGAAAGTGAAAGAATGAGATGGAATTGAAAATGTTGTTAAATGGGAAATAGACGTGGTTGTAGTCCAATTTCGCACATTTTCGCACCATAACATGGAAATATGAAAAGACCATTATGCACCGAATTTGGTTGAAATCGGTTAAGCAGATCCCAAGATATGGGGTTTCACCTAAAAGTGGGCGGTGCCACGCCCACTGCCAAATTTTGAACGCGGTTCCTATAAAGTCATCTCATACCATCCCAGAGATAAAATTTATTGTCTCTGGCGTGTTTAGTGCTTGATTTATCGCGCTTTTAGTAGTTTTTAACAGTACCGTTATATGGGGAGTGGGTGGAGTTGCCACCAGCCTTGTATCTTATTGCGGAGGTTAGTTCGGCAATTTATTTGTTTTTGATTAATGGCATTTTGTGGGCGTGGCAGTGGTCCGATTACGCCCATCTGCAATACCAACCGTCTCACGGTACCAAGAAACATGTCTACCAAGTTTCATAAATATATCTCAATTTTTACTCAAGTAAGAGCTTGCACGGATTGACGGACGGACAGACAGTCACCCGGATTTCAACTCGTCTCTTCATCCTGATCATTTATATATATATAACCCTATATCTAACTCGATTAGTTTTAGGTGATACAAACAACCGTTAGGTGAACAAAACTATTATACTCTGTAGCAACAAGTTGCGAGAGTATAAAAATAGATAATATAGTAAATATTAAAGTTGTTAAGCGCAACTGTTAAATAAACACTAGCCATAAAGTGCATTTTTCTTCAAACTGTTTACAATAAACACACTATCAGAGTTTTATTTGTAAATAAACTTATTTATTTAATCTAGCAGCAGATACCTTAACGTTTTTCATTCTAATTGGCAGATTCGACACGTCAAAAAGTGTGTTGTGCACGAATGAAGAAAGAAATCGAGTTGACAAGCAGTAGTAAAGCCTTGTAACAACAGTAAACCAAACAAAGTCAACTTCAGATCAAATAGCATAAATACACAATACATAACTGCAAATATACAATAGCAACAATAAAAGCACGAAACTAACAAATCGAGCAACATCAATCGTCAACCGTCAAGAATCGAGAATTCACAAATAAATAAACCAAGTTAACAACCACGACGACGACTAACACCGATTCGAAATCTAAACATTTCCGTTAGAACTGAAACAAAAACAACAAAGTTGTAAACTACTAGCTCAGCAAAACGCGATTCAAAGCAAAATATAAAAACAAAATAGGCGAATTAAAAAAATATTAAGTTTTTGTAACAAAAAAATAAAAAAATAAAAAAATAAAAAATAATTAGTAATCCTAAGTAAAAGCGGTAAAATACCACTAAAACAACAACAACTACTACAGTAATTTTACATAGTAGTAGTACTCATAGTAGTAACAGCAGAAGCAACAAAGCAACTGTAGAGGAGCAGTAAACTAAGAGCCACCAAAAAAAAAAGAACAAAATGTCATTTCGCGTCGTACGAAGTTCGAAATTTCGTCACGTCTACGGTCAGGCACTGAAACGTGAGCAATGCTACGACAATATACGCGTCTCAAAAAGCAGTTGGGACTCCACATTCTGCGCGGTGAATCCGAAATTCTTGGCGATCATTGTGGAGTCCGCTGGCGGTGGAGCATTCATTGTACTGCCACACAATAAGGTAAGCAAGCACACATACTAACATACATACATGCATGTACATATAAGAAATTGTTTGAGCTTTTTTTTTTGTCTTTCAAAAGCGTTAACGCACGTTTAAGGAATTTAGAATAGACTTACTGGCGATTTCTTTAAAACAATTAAAATGGCATAGAAAAAAGAAAAATAAACGTTCGGAAATTGTGTGGGTGAAGTGACGTTTGGGTTGGACTACGTGCGTCATGCAGAAAAGAAAACTCTTTGTTATCGAAAATATGTTCATTATACTGGTTGACGTTCGTCTTGTAAGGTGGCAGCACTATTTCGATTTTGTTTAAATTTATTCATTCTGTTTCGACTATTTTCAATATCTTATCTTATTAGTTTTTACTATTCGAATAAAAAAATAATAATTTAATTTATTCAAAACAAAACCAATGCAATTGATCGAATAGTGGCGAGACATACTCAGTCAATTTGATTTTTTTCTGGTTTATTATTTCGCAAATTTTTTTTATATACCTATTACATCACTTAAGGGGTATCCTGTCTAGAGGCATGAATTTCAGGGAGTTTTTGAAGTGCCGTAAAAAAGGCTTTACAAGAATACGGGAAAAAATAAAAAAATTAGTGATAAAGTGGGGTGTCTCAAAAATTTGGCACGTGACCATACTCATGATTTCAACCCTGCTAGCAATCTGAAACCAAAAAAGAACAAAATTATTTATCTAGAATAATCTTGCGATGTCTGGAACTAAAGAAAAGTTTGAAAAACACTTTATCACGAAATGGTGACTGTCAAAAAAAAAGTTCTTGTATTAAAACTTCTTTATTTGTGAAGGCTATTATAGTTTAGATGTAGTCGACGGTAAAGTTTTGCCATGAAAATTCTTCTAAGTATATAATGAAATTTTTTATACACAAAAACTATATTTAGTCCGAGCCTTGTGAGTAGAGTTTTAGTGGAAGAAACCCAACTGTGGTATTGATTTGATAGTAAATAAATACGAGTTAATTAATAATCAATTAAGCATATTCATATGTATGTACATAAAAAAGAATTTTTAATTTTAATATTTCAGTTGAAAATTTTACTATTATATATAATATATAATATGTATAACGGCAACCGCCAAAACCAAGGCGTTTGCGTCAAGAAAGCGCAAGGAGTACGCATGATAACTTATACATACATATCCCGTATATATATATATATTTGTATGTATGTATGTATGTATGTAAGTAGTATTATATTTGCTTCCGTTGATAATTTCTTCGCGCAGTTTTGAATAGTTTCTTCTAATAATTGCTGATCATGATAAATCGACCGCGAGCCTTCCAACGCCAACACATTTTCAGCATTTTACTTTAGAATATTGTGTAAACAAAACAACACACACACTTAAAGAAAGCGTCGTCCTTCAACTCGTACAATAAATAAATGTGTGAGATCAAAAACAAAATTTAAATGATCTTCAGCGTCTTTATTATATAAATAAAGCTATTTTTAAATACTTCCAATGCAAAGCATTTTATACATGTACAAATAATATTTTCATACACACGAGTACATGCATACACACATGCGCATGTTTGTGTGTACACATTAAATAAATGTATTTTCTCTCTAATTGGACTGCTGCAGCCGTTTCCAAATAAGGTTAAGGTTAAAATGAAAATTTCGCTCTTTGTGTGCCTTACCGCTAGGTGAAGTCTTAAGAAGGTGCATGCATGCACACACACACACACCGCTATGTATAAATATAAGTATGTACGTGCAGGGAAAAGGAACTAAATTTAGCTCAGTTTGTATTTATAATAAATTTATTATTTGCATAAGCAAATAAAAATATCGTGGCATGAATTAGAATTGTGGAGGCATAGGGTTATTGTAGTAAAATGAAAAAAAAGTAGAATTAATTTAAATTTAAAATCATGTGAAAGCAATGCGAAACACAACTGCGAACTAATGTGAATGCGAAACGAGTGCAGAATGAATGCGAAATTACACGAAAATCTACAAATGGTTGGTTATTTGAATGCGAGCAACACAGCGCAGACCACCGCCAGCCAACGCAAACAGCAGTGACACCGAAACAACAAAAGACTAGCAGTAAACTGACCACTGGTCGTTAGTTGCTCGCTCCGTTGCTGGTGAAGCGTTGGGTGTGGGTGTATACCTCTACCCCCTACTGCTGTGCGCAACGTTAGACCAAACGTAGGCCAAAAACAAAAAAAAAACTCTTCCAAAAAGTTTTTACTTTCTAAATCTGTTTAAAAACAAAAAAGAGAAATAATTTTTTTATCTTCTATATATGTTGCTGCGTGTGCTGCATGTAGAAGGAAAAGTGCGGAGAACGAGAAAATGGCACGAATATAATAAATACATACATATATATGCATATGTGTGTGTTTGTAGCAGAATTTTGTAAACGTATTCGAAAGTGATTTTTCATTTAGAATGAATATATCGTTTAAAAATAGCATACGACTACGATAGATTTTGGCAATTGACCAATAATTGAGGTAACGCGCGCAAAAATTCTAATTTAAATTAGCGACGTATGTGCTGGTGCACACACATCATGCGGAGGCGTGGGGATATGATGTAGCCACTTCTTTCAAGCGCTAATAAATTCGACTGATGTGATACTTTTGAAACGTTTTTTTAGCTATAAATTTTATAATTAAAATGTGTCAGCAATTATTTGCAGTTTTGCTAAATTGCAATACTAAAATCAAAGACTGAAAAAAAAATCTATTACACTTAACAAAACTTTATGTTGTGTAATATTCCTTAAATATATATAAGAAAAAACTATAAAAGCGTTTACAAATACAAAAATTTTCCATACAAAGACTGGATTTTGATCGATCAGTTTGTATGACACAGCGCTATGTTATAGCAGTCCGATCTGTATAGTTTCTTCAGATATTGTACCGTTGACTTAGGCAATAATCCATTTGGCATGGAAATGAGCAGCTCCTTGGGGAGAAAAGAATGTGTGTAAAATTCACGATCGATATCTCAAAAACTGAGCGACTTGTTCGCGTACATACAGATTGACAGATAGATGGACATTGATATATTGATCAGCTCGTCATGTTGATTATAAATATATATAGCTTTTATAAGATATCTGACGTTTCCCTCTTTTTGTTACAAACTTCGTGACAAACGTAATATACCCTGTTCAGGGTATAAAAAAGGAGAACCATCAGCTTCAAAATTTTGGAGTTTTTCGAAGCAACATTTTTCCATAGTTTATAATAATGAGAGAAACTTAAAAAATTATATCCTCAAATAGTCCAAAAAAAAATTTTAATTTCCTACTTCCTCACAAACACCAGCCAACTAGTGTGTGTGTGCGTAAGTTGCGAACTCGGTGAAGTATTATTTAAAAGTAAATGTTTAATTTTAGTTTTTCATCAACGTTGCGTCTTTCAGCACTCGACCACACATTCGCAGTTAGCGAGATTTACTAACCATGCAGAGAATTTGCCAGTTTTCTAATAAAATAAGTCTATAATGATGTAAAAATTGGTAGCAATTCGAGTTTTTTATACTTTTGAAAGTAGGATAATTCTGCGATCAATTCTGATGAACTGTAAAATTCACACTTGTGTATGATTTTGTAAAAAAATTATATTCTTAATTTCTAACGGCTTATTCTTTTTTTTTTTATTAGAAGTATAACCTCATTTGCCTACTTCTTAAAAAAATATTTCTGCAAAATATTCGAAAAGTTGGCGAGATTGTGCCCTCTTTAGGATTAGTGAGAACATTTAATTTCACAATATCATATGAGAATGTAAAATTGTGAAATTGTTAAAAAATCGGAAAATAAATACGCTCATCCCCATATATAATATGTACGTAACGGTGGTTTTAACTTATAGTAAATTTTCTTTATAATAAGCTATCTAGAAATAAGACTTAAGGGCATATAATCATTTGCAAGTCCAAGTAAAGTATATTTACAGGATTTAATGTACTTTAATAATCTTTAATTCATTTAGAAAAATTTTGGATTTCATTGATCTAGTAGCCGATCTCCAGGAAGAACTCTGAAAAACTCTGTCTGGCGGTGAGAAAATTTTTTCTGCTTAAAATTATCTCAAATCCATTACAATAGATGAATACAGGCAATTATCGAAGGACTCGTCAAAATTTTGATATGATAAGCTCACTTTGCTGCCTTTGGTAACCAATAAGTGGCTCAGTTTAACTCCGAAAAACATCTTTTACAACAAACAAAAAAACGCAGTTGAATATATCTAATAAGGTCGTGTGAAAATTTCAAGCACCCATACTCCGAATATGATGGTCATTTACCCTTATTACCCTGATGTTTGCAAACATCTATATGGAAGTGGTATATTCCTAGTACGTGATTCAATCATTGACATATGTACAAAATTGTTTAGTGTTGCCAATTTTCTTATTTTTATGCGTACCTTGCTGAGTTTTAATTTTAGATTATTCGCAATTGTTGGCCAAATAAAGGGATTTCCTTAAATCGTTTTCTTGTTGTTGTTTGTTCTGCAGCTAATTGTTAATTTAAACATGTGTTGCATATTGCAGATATAATACATGGACATAGGTTGGTTGAAAAGTTTCTGCGCTCGAAATGAAAAAATACTGTTTTTGGTACGAAACATAATTTTTTATTCAATTTAATCTCCTTTAACTTCGATACACTTATTCCAATGATCCTACAATAATTTTATGCCATCCCTATAATGACTTTCCGGAAGCTCTGCAAAATACCCGTCTACGTCTGTAATAGCTTCTTCATTCGACGAAAAACGCTTTCCACGAAGGAACTCGTTCAGGTTTCTGAAGAGGTAGTAGTCGCTGGGAGTCAAATCTGGTGAATATGGTGGATGCTTAAGCAATTCGCACTTTAATTCGTTGAATTTTGTCATTTTTAAAACACCATTGTGAGCAGGTCCATTTACTTGATGAAATTTGATTTTTTTGTGCTGCAAACCGGGTCTTTCTCACGAATTTTTTTATCCATCTTATCCAAAAGGCTAAAATAATATTGAGGGTTGAATGTTTTATCTTTCGGCAGATAATTAATCAACAAAATTCTTCTTGCATCCCAAAAAACTGATGTCATAACCTACTTTGCTGATCGTTGTGACTTCACCTGCTTTGGGGCTGCTTCGGTCCACTGTAAACGTTCTTGTTTCAATTTAGGATCATGGTGCTAGATCCAAGTCCCATCCATGGTTATAAAACGACGCAAGAAATCGGCTTTATTTTGCCTAAAACGCTCTAAATTATGATGATCCAGTTTTTGTTGAATTGTTTCGTGTGCGGCATTAACTTTCCAAACAGCTTTTTGTTATGTAATTCTCCACGTAAAATATGAAGTACTCGTTCGTCTGAGATGCCTATGGCATTAGCAATTTAACGCTTTGTCAAACTTGGATCTTCACTAACAATATTATGAATTTGTTCAATGATTTCTGGTGTGCTTACGGTTTTTGGTTGTTCTTCATGTGGATCGTCTTCAAGCCTAGTACGACCACGTTCGAATTCACCAGCCCAAAATTCAACGGTACTATTTGAAGGTGAAGGCTCCTTATACACTTTTAACAATGGTTCTTAAATTTCCTTTGCTTTTAAACCTTTCAAAACAGAGTATCTAATCACTTTTCCATAATAAAAAAATACTCTCACACGTAAACTTCAAATGGCTTGTAAGCAAAGAATTAATTGACAGAATGACTTGTATCTTTGCATGTGTTCTCACGACAGATGTATCAACTTGAAAAAATAATTGGAGCTAGTAGTGCTATTTCTTGGTGAGACCAACCAACTTTTCAACCAGCCTGTAATGTTAACGATTCGGATAATTACTTAAAAAAAGAAATATCATATTTTATTTTAAAAAATAAATGAAAATAATGTTTTGATTATAAATATATTCAAAATATTATATTATGCAAAAATCTATATATTTTGAAAAAAAAAATGTTTATGTACTGTTTTATCAAACCATCTCTTCAAATACACATTACTTTACTTTTATACTTAAAAGCTTGCTAATCCATCGGTGTTGATGAAAAGCATTTTGTTATTTTCAACGTGGCTACGTACTTTTTATATATTCAGTTATTTCACGTAATTTTCGGAATGATATACAAAAACAGATTTTTTTTTAATTCTCTTATGTCAACAATATATTTCTGACAAAAAAGTTTATTATACAATCAGCTGTTTCTGTTTAATACTATTTTTTTATGATTTTCACAAAATTAAAATTGAATTCATTGAATATTAATAAAGAGTGGTGAAATTTTTTCTAAATAATTAAGTACGAAATGAAAATTTTAAATGCGTTGCGTGCCACAACAATGTTTTCACTCAATCCCTTTTGGAGCTGTAAAATTTCATAATTCTTCGTTCAATAGCCAGACTTATAAGCTCCATAAATATTACATATATAAAATATGAGTTATCCAAAGTGCTACAGAATTGGAAAATATAAAGTTTTCTTTTCTCGATAAAAATGTTGCCTCATATATGGTAATATTATATAATCCATTACACCTTGTAAACATTTTCCATTTTTTACATGACAAATGCACAAAAAAATGCTATCCAACTCTTTCGCAATTTTCATTATTGAGCTTAACAAAATTTATCGATCCATTATAATTAGTAGAAAAAACTTTTTTCACGGTTAGAAGGCAAAGTTTTGAAAAAAGAAAGAAACAAATCTAAAAAAATGTTGAGGACAGAACAGGCAAATTTGACAGCCCGAACATAGGGAGGAAAAATTTTGTGAGAAAAGAAAACGCCATTAGTTATTTAAAAAAGGTTTCCAAAAATGTTTGCAAACAATAGAATTAGCTAGCTAGTCTCGTTAAAGAGGTCTGGGGTAGTAGAAATTTCAAAATTAGATTTTTTGGCATGTTCTTAAAGTATAATATATTAGAAATATTCTCTGAAAATATATCCGACAATACTTTTCTACTTATTCGATAATTATCAAAGGGTTCGCGGGCACTCTTGAACTTTCGAGAGCAGCAGCAGCTGCAAGCGATCGGTTCTCGGGTTCTATTGTCAACTTTGATGTACATAACATAACATATATTTATGTATATAATTTTACCTACTGTATAAATATCTAACTATATATATTTTTTTTATTTAAAATTGTAATTTTTTTTCATATGTCTCGGACTACATCTAACTCCTTAAAACTCAACCAATTACCAAAATGGTTAAAGGCCAAAAGCGAAAATGTGAAATTAGCAGTGCTCGCCTATATAAATTTTCTTATATTTATTTTACAAACAACTTTATTGGATTCATATCTTCAAATCGGTTAAAGTATTTTGTGCCAATTAAGAGTTATTGAATTTTTAAAATTCTCCTAAGTATGTACAAAACTGAATATATTTATAAACTATAAACTAGTGCAGACACACTGGCATACAAATATACATATATGTGTATGTATTTTGTTCGCAATTTAATGCTATTAATGACCGGCTGTCAGGTGTTTCGGTGTTTCGGTGCTTGGGAGCTATTACAAATCTCACTGAATGAGTCTGAGCCACCTGCTTCACGCATTTTCACGGAACATTGCTATTATTTACGAGCACAAGCTCCTGAAATTATGTATATAAATATATATATAGATATATAAGTACGTATGTAAATGCAAATATCGGACCGGTGTGACGTGTGGAGCGAGCAAGTTAGCGTGCGGCAAGGAGTGTTTTTCACAGCAGGTGATAAATATCGAATGCAAATTGTGTTGGTGTGGCAATCGGTGGCTCGACGACTATGCCATTTTTATTTTTCACGAAAATATGAAAACACTGAAAATGTGAAAATCCACACAAAAAACAAAACATTGAAAAAGAGTTGGAAAAAAAGAGGGGTGCACTTGAAGAGCGTAAATGAAAATGAAATATGCGCTGTGCTTGCTGAAATTAGGAAATGAGGTTGACATAGCGTCACACTGGCCAACTACAATACAAACATACATACATACATACATATGAATATAAGCATATTTACGCGGGTGTAAAGATGTAATTAATTTGACACTCATGCAAAAATAGAATACTTTCAGCTGTTCGCTTTCGTTTTTTTTTTTTTTTTTGTAAAAATAAATATGTGCAATATATGTATGTATAATTTATTCTTTACTTTTGCTTTAAGACACTTGATCCATCTATTATTTTTATTCATTAACATGTTCACTTTTAATTTTTGCAGGTTGGTCGCATAGCTGCCGATCATCCATTGGTGGGAGGCCATAAAGGACCCGTTCTGGATATTGCCTGGTGTCCGCACAATGACAATGTTATCGCCTCCGGCTCTGAGGATTGTGTGGTTAAGGTTTGGCAAATACCCGATGGCGGTCTGTCACGCACCCTCACCGAACCAGTTGTCGATTTGGTGTTCCATCAACGTCGCGTCGGTCTTGTGCTTTGGCATCCATCGGCATTGAATGTGCTGCTGACGGCGGGCTCGGATAATCAGGTCAGGCATATACAGAGTGTAATTGTGCCCGAATTTTTAGGGTATCACATAATAACTATTTGTTTTTTTTTTATTTCTGAGTCGAAAATAATGTTGCTTAGTACTTGGAAGTAGAATATAATAGTTTTTTGGAATTAGAGCAGCGGATAAAATAGCAGATTTAAAAAAGAAATATTGGTTAAATTAATATGCCAGATAAATGATGTAATACCATATGATCAGATTTGACTCGGACTACACTTGTTTGTCTGGCAATTTTTACCGCAAAATAATTAACAACATCAAAACCGAAAATACCAAAATTCTCTGAAGCCCATCCCAGCTAGACTTCTAACAACTGTATGGAAAATTAGATTAAGTTTTGGCATGCGTGTATTGGCTTAGGAGTCTATTTTTAATTCGACATTAAATATACATATGTGATAAAAGTTAGTCCGGGTCAATTTTGATCGGATGATATATTTTTCATTCTTCGAAAGTTTGCTACTGAAAACTACTGGCAAATCCTGTGAGGAAAGAATCTATATCTATAGTTTGACCATATTCCATTCTACAGGCGAATGGCTTTGTATAGTGATCCATAGAACTGTTTTTACAGAATTTTTTGACAATGGAAAATGGTTTACCAGGCACCAAAACTCATAACAACTTTTTTTTTATTCAAATAGGTTGTCATTTGGAATGTGGGTACTGGCGAAATACTCGTTCACATCGACTCGCATCCCGATGTTGTATATAGTGCATGTTTCAACTGGGACGGTTCAAAATTAGTAACCACATGCAAAGATAAAAAGATACGTATCTATGATCCACGTAACGGTGAAATAGAAAGCGAAGCACTTTGTCATGAAGGATCGAAGGCAACGCGTGCCATCTTCCTGCGTCATGGTCTCATCTTTACCACCGGCTTCAATCGTTCATCGGAACGTCAGTATTCACTGCGCGCACCTGATGCTCTTAATGAACCCATCGTCATGGTGGAGTTGGATACATCAAACGGTGTGATGTTCCCACTTTACGATGCGGACACGAATTTGATTTATCTATGTGGTAAAGGTGATTCAGTTATACGTTACTTTGAGGTAAAAGCGCAAATTAAATTAAATAAAAATATATTTATTTCATATTAATTTTTGTCTACCGCAGATAACGCCCGAGCCACCGTTCGTGCACTATATCAACACATTTCAAACGCCAGATCCCCAACGTGGTATTGGTTTGATGCCAAAGCGTGGCTGCGATGTCACAAGTTGCGAAATAGCTAAATTCTACCGGCTAAACAATAATGGCTTGTGTCAGGTGATCTCGATGACAGTACCGCGTAAATCGGATCTCTTCCAAGAGGATTTGTATCCGGATACCTTAGCCGAGGATGCGGCACAAACTGCCGAGGAGTGGATTGCGGGAAATGATGCCGAACCATTGACATTTTCACTCAAAGTAAGTGTATTGTGTGTAGAGTGTGTCAGTGAATTATAAAATTGGAATACATAAACGGTATTGGGTGGTAAAAGCGATTTCAAATGTTTTCCTTTTGTGAAAATGGAACATTAGCCTAACCTATACTCCGAACAGGGTAATTTAAGTTTGCCACGAAGTTTCTAAAAACATGAAGGATATAACGGACACCATCTAAAGTATATATATAAATGATCAGCGTGACGAGCTGAGTCCATTTAACCATGTCCGTCTGACGGCCGTTCGTTTGTCGCTATGTACGCCAACTAGTTTCTCACTTTTTGAGATATCACTCTAAAAGTTTGCACACGTCCTTTTTTCCCTAAGAAACTGTCCATTTGTTGGAACTGCCGATATCGGACCACTATAGCATATGTCTGCCATACAAACCGACCGATCCAAATAAAGTTCTGTTATGCAAAACTTTTTACCACTATAGCATATAGCTATCAAACAAACCGACCGATCAAAATCAAGTCAAGCAAAACTTTTTTTATTTGGGAAATTATATTTACGAGATAAAGCATAGATTATTGTCCCAGTCAACGCTGCAATCTCGGTATTTCAATATACGTTACTCTATACGACATGATTTTTGAAACCTGTATTCCAATTTAAAGTTTTGTGCTTTTTGATAGTTTGCATTTTTACAGTTGGTTCTGTTCAATGGCTGCCCACAACTGCCTGACTTGTTTGAATGACTATTAACTTAAGCCTTAGTAATTGTTATATTTGCTTTCGAAATTTTGAAAGGATTTGTTTACAAGTTCAATTGTTCAATGCTAGTTAAATTGTGCTCTTCACCTCTAACAGCATATACTACACAAAACGCAAAATTGAGTATAATTTTTTTTAATTGTTGTAAAAGATGTTAACACAATATTTACATCATAAAACAAAATTAAAAAAAAAAAATTCATGCATTAACTTGCACTGGCAAATAATATACATTCACACATATATCGAAATTAGTAGAGAAAGATCCGAAATCATGCCTACATTCCACATCTTAGAATTAATCGAAACATTTTTGAAACACCTTCAAAGCAAACATCAATGCATGCAAGCTTACATACGGAAAATACATCTCTTTTCATGCAAGATTTTCACTGCGCATGCAACATACCATCCACATACATTCCACAACTTTCTTATATAATTTCATCGTCATCACCGCTAACACGCACGTTTTCCGGCGTTGTTGTGTTTTCGTTGTGTTCTTTGTTAATTTCCAAACATTCCGCTCCCATAGCGGGCGGAACAGTAATGCTAAAACGCTTAAAAAGGATCGTGTCTCTATTGTACAGGGTGGCTATGTCTCACAATCGGCCAGCAAGTCGCTGTCGGTGTCAAAGAAGGCGAACATCCTCAACAAGGCCTCAGCGGGCACCTCGAAGAGTGCGACCAGCGCAGCGCTTGGTGGCAATCATACGACATCGAATAACAACAACGCATCGAGCGGGTCCGGTTTTGTGAGCGGTGTCAGTGTAAGTAGCCAAATAAAACAAAAGCAAAGCACCAGATAACAAATATAAATTAATGTTTCACTTTTTTGTTTGCAGGAAAAGGATCTGCGCGATATCACCGATGAAATACGCAAATTGAAAGCGATCATTGTGAAGCACGAGAATCGTATACGCGCGCTGGAGGCGGCCGTGCGTGCACAAGAAGGTGACGATACCGATTCACGACCAGCGGCGGCGCCAGTCACTGCCGGCAATGGCAATTCATCGTCTAAAGCGGCCACGGATGGCGGCGCGCAAAAGGAGAGCAACGATAATAGCAGTGCCAACGATCAGAGTCACTCGACTGCCGCGAACGACGATGAATTTTAATTAAATTTATATATAACTATTTTTAATTAAACTTGCTGCGCGACGCTTTATCGATTCAAAATACGTTTCGTTTGTATTAATATTAATATTATTTTATCGATTTTTAATTTATTTTTAAAATAATATATATATATATAGCTTTTCCACCTTTTAATTTTATGAAAACCAGAAAGATACATTTTCATTTTTACATTTTAAAATAAATTTAAAAATTATATAAATATATTGTTTGTAAATTGTCAACACATACACACACACACACACACGCGCCCTATCTAAAATCAATATGTAAATGTGCTTTAGTTATACCATAAAAAAATCGCAAATAACTCAAAAACAAGAAAATAAAAAAAGTTGTCTGTAACTAAAACAACGCAAAATAAAGCAAAACGAAAACTTGTAAATTACTATTGTAAAAGAGTAGTTATAACTCGATGCGTATTTTTTTTATTTATACTTAATGCAAGCTCTTTTCAGTAATGGTAAACCGGAGAGCTTTAAATAGACGACTACTCACACTGTTTAAGTGCGCACACTTTCAGTTTAATTAGCTGTGCCGAAATTAAGCTAAACAAATGCTCAAATGGTTATGTGCTTTTAAATAGCAAAATCATTTCGTATAGCTAGTTGATTTTATTTTTAAATACATGCTACATACTCTGCTACAAAACTACAATTGACTGTAAATGAGAAATATGCACTATATAGCAGCAGTAAATAGGCCTAAATAAAATTAAAACTTTTTAAATTCATTGTAAAAAAATATCTTTCAGACTATGTGGAACTAATAATGGTTCAGACTGACTAAAAATGGCGCACTTAAAAACAATTTACACATACGTATAACTATTAACCACACTATTTGTACATTTATCATAAATATAGTGATCGTTTTTTATTAGTTGTTTACACTTGAATGTGTTTTTCTCCCGCCGTTGCTGCCTTTTTAGCTCACAAATATTCGCGTTGTAAAATAACTTGATAAAAAACAAAATTCATACATAACTATATATTAACACTCAGTTGTTGCTTAACACGCATATAAAAAAATATGTTTGCTACAAACATGCTGCATGCTTGTTAATAAACAACAAGCATGCGTAAAAAAAATTTAAAATTTTAGAAAGTGATTATGATTAAATAATATCTCTAATACAAAAATGAATATATTTAACTAGAATTAGGCGAATAATTGAACTACAAAAACTGCGTGCGCAGTATTTATTTCCAAACTAGCTAAATCCTAAACTAATGAATACAAGATTGTTATTAACATTTTTTTTTTTAAATATATACGCAAAGACTTCAAGTTTTTTTTTATAATATGCTGTATTAATTTACAATCTGCCTTATTATTAAATTTATTAAATTGGTTGACAAAAAATTTAAAATATTTATTAATTTTTTAAACAAATTGTAATATGGCAAGTTTTGTGCATTTGTGATTGTTCAATTATTTGCTTTTATTCATTTACAAAAGTCCTATTTACTTTGAATTAACGTCAATGAACAAATTGTAAGGAGAATTACTAACCAAAAAGGAAATTACAAACTACTAAACAACGGAGTTCAGCAATAGCAGAGACTTGAATTTAATAATATTAAATTATAATGTCAAACTGAAAACATGAATAATTTCATGTTTTTGCTGTCTGTCCAATGCTGCGAGTCGTCCTCTTTAAAATTAGCTTACTTATACAAAATTTATGCCAAATTAATGTATTTTTAATATATATACATATACTTACATAATTACAAAAAATATATATATACTTATGTAAAGCATAAAGCAAACTATTGTACTACTACTAGTATGTGACAAGCATAACTAATAAACATTATAATATATATTTATATAGAAATTTTTGATAACTGAAAAACTTAAAAAGAGATCGTTGTAATTTTTATATTAAGCGGGTAAAAACCATACAGTGTGTGAAAAAAGATGTTACTGCTAGAGAAGCAAATAAATGAGCAGGTAAACTTAACATTTCATTGGTAAATGTTGCAAGCGCTAAAATAAAGCTTTGATACTAAAAACAACTGGTTGCTGCTTGTGAAAAACATGACAAGGTTCAGTCAAACCAATAAATTCTGTAAACTGCGTATGTATGTAAATTATGAAAACTACTATCTTTTCTTTAAGATATATACATTTTATGTTGCCTCGAAATGTGTGTACTTTCTATTTTCATTTTATTTTATGTGAACATTATTTGTTTTATTTGTCTTATTTTTTATAATTTTAATGTACTCATATTACGTTATTTTAAAAATATTTAATTTGTTTTGAAATGTCTCTCTTTTTACGCTATTTTTATATTATTATTTTGTGTACTTTTTATATTGCTAAAAATGCCTTGTTATGGAATGTGTTTCAATAAATGCGATTGTAATTCTTAAATGTTTTTTTCTACTTCTACATTTTCTACATACATATGTATATCTATAATGAGAATTGTAGTTTCTTACGGAGCTACATTAATGCTTTCCTGCCGATTTTCAACTAGCAAACGATTATGCAAACATAATTGAATTAAAATAATCAAGAATATGTGTTAAATAAAATATACAAACATAAAATAAGTGTGAAAGAAAACTGATTTACACATGAAATAAAGTTTTTGATAACATTTATACAGACGAAATAAAAAACGGTTATAAAAGCGAATTATGGATAATATTGTATATACTTATTTCTAATGGTTAATAGGTAACAAACTATAGATTATTTAATTGTTTCCCAAAACACGAATCGCAAACTAATACGAGTATATATTTAAATTTAATATTTTTAAGGATTAGTCCTTGAAGCTGTTATTTCGGTACGGATCTATCAACCATTTGACATAAACATATTTGAAATAAAATATTTAAATCCGTTTTTATAAATATTTCATCAGATTGAAAGCAAATGCAACTTCCTATATAATTACAGGAAAGGTTTAATATATTATATAGTATAACTTATTATATAGTGTAATATATTATACGTTCTCTGCTAATTATCGCAATACAGGTTGCTTGAAAAGTTTCTGCGCTCGAAATGAAAAAATACTGTTTGTGGTACGAAACTTAATTTTTATTCAATATAAATTTTCCAAATATATATATAAGTATATATTTTATTAAAAAAAAATAACTGTAGCTGTAAACATGTGCAGTGTGCATATCGAGAAGTACTCCGTAATATCTGAAAATATTACATCAATCGTATATATAAAAGTGAAAGAATATTAAATTAATGCCTCATATAAGTTTCCTTAAAAGGAAATAATAATTCTTTACAGCTTCTTCATTCGACGAAAAACGCTTTCCACGAAGGAATTCGTTCAGGTTTCTGAAGAGGTAGTAGTCGCTGGGAGCCAAATCTGGTGAATACGGTGGATGCTCAAGCAATTCGTACTTTAATTCGTTGACTTGATGAAAAATGATTTGTTTGTGCTACAAATCTCACGAATTTTTCCATCCAGCTGATTCAAAAGGCCGCAATCATATTCAGAGTTTATTGTTTTGCTTTTCTGCAGATAATCAATCAACAAAATTCCCTATTCATCCCAAAAAACTGATGCAATAACCTTCTTTGATGATCGTTGTGACTTTACCAGCTTTGGAGCTGAACAACCAGCTAAAGTTGACTGTAAACGTCCTTGTATCAATTTATGATCATGGTGGTAGATCCTGTGACATTAGCAATTTCACGCTTAGGCAAACTTCGATGTTCACTAACAATATTATGAACTTGCTCAATGATTTCTGGTGTGGTTGCGGTTTTTGGTCGTCATTCGTGTAGATCGTCTTCAAACCTAGTACGATTTACGTTTGCTTTTAAACCTTTCAAAACAAAGAATCTAATCATTGCGCGATATTCAATATTTTCATCTGACACGGTAACTTCAAATAGCTTGTAAACTAAGAGTTAATTGACAGAATGACTTGTAATATTGCATGTGTTCTCACCATGGATAAAGTTATCACGACAAATGCAAGGATGATCCTTGACAAATGTACCAACTTGAGAAAAAAAAAAAATTGGAGCTAGTAGTGATATTTCTAGATGATATCTGACTAACCACCTTTTATAGATAGATATAATATCGCTTAAACATTTTCATTACATTCTCTCTGACATTATTGAAATTCAAAAATAAGCATTAAAAATATATGTATATTGAATAGTTTTTGCATTGTTTGGATTCGTTGCGACTTTAGCAATAACGACAATTTATTTAGTTGAGTGGCAACGCGATTTAAAGTGTTGCATTTGTCCGCACTAATATCAGCGAAACCGGTTTTGGCATCCTGCGATGCCAACCGATATTATTATGCGCTGTCAATTATTTCAGCAGTCACATTTTGACATTTGCTGAGTACAGTTTGGAAAATTTATAGTGTGAAAGATTCTTGAATATTCGCAAGCTAGATAATAAAAAGTTATTTTTTCAGTAAGAAATAAAATAACAAAATAATTGAAGTGTAAACAAATAAATGTTGAGGAAAATCAATACACCTCGGAATAACAGCTAGAGAATAATAGATACCAGTTTAACAGAGAATATTGCAATACAGACTACGGAGAATTACATAATTTATTTAAATAACTTATAGAAACTGCAAAAAGGAATGGAATACAGGAGTATACAGAAAACTTTGAGCAATTTTTATTAAAAACAAATTATTGACGATTTTGTGAATTTTTCTACGACTGAGTTAACGGGTCGATGAAATTTCATCATCAATACAGAGGCAGAGCCGAACACAATATACAGTCGTGAGCAAAGAAAACGATTCATAAGAGGAATTTTTCATATATACATATATTGAACTAAAACGAATTGCAGCAATTATTTACTTCACGGGAAGATGTTCAGCAGTCATTTTACGAAAAAATTATCTATTACACTGAAAGGCGAAAACGGGAGCTTTTTAGTTAGTAAAAAAGACGAAACCAGTGCCAGAACTGAATCGAGCAGCTTAGCGGAGCAGTTACGCACAAAGAATAAGGAGTTCCTTTGATCAAATAAATATTAGAATACATATACAAAATAATATCTATTATATAGTTTCACACTCATAACAATTAGAAACTAAAAATTGCTGCGGGAACAGCACATTCGCCAAAGAACTATGAAGTTTTGATATAAAAGTAAGAGATAAATCAACTTTAGAATTATTAAATTGAATGAATGGAAAATAATTGATTTGCTGTACGTGTGAAAATTGTAGCACAGTTTAAAACTGTATTAAGGACCTTAGAAATACTAAAAAGCCTATAAGCAAACTACCACAAACACAAAGGACTGCAGTTCGAGTAGTCGGTTATAAAAATATAAGGATTAATATACACAGTTTGTATATAATTGGTATACGAGTGTCCAAGCGGGCACAAAATCGACAAAATTACCGACACCAATAAAAAATCATCATCAACAATTTCGCCGAAGGAACAGGAAGATAAAAAGGATTCTGCAGAAATGGCTGCCATGAATACAAAGTCTACCAAATTTGGAGGGAAACTGAATTTATCTTCTCATGTAAAGTATGAGCATTTAGTAGCTGGCATTTCGGGTGGCGTAACGTCGACGCTAATATTGCATCCGTTAGATTTGATAAAAATTCGATTTGCTGGTAAGTTTCGTGTTAAACAATTCCAATATCATACAATATAGAACAATTTAAAAAATAAATTTTACAACTATTTTTTATATATGCTTATTTTATATTATCATAGTCAGTGAATTTTTATTGGCTTATTAGCTTGTTAAATATTAATTTTCCTGTTTGTATTTTATATTGATAGCGGCGGCACGGGCTAATCTTTGACGTGCTGATAAAACGTCTCTAAGAACGCGTGCTATAGCCATGATCCATTTTAGGGATTTGACTAACGACGCAAAATATTTAAATTCAATTAATTCAACTCAAATTAATATTGAATATAAATTATAGATGTCTAGAAACAACTTTATCTCTCTTTTACCTATTGTGTGTACTAAGTGTGTATGTTATGCCGAGTACAATGTTCAGATCTTATGTACATATGTATGTATATTTGTACCGCAATACATTTCCTGAAGTAGTTAACTAATAGCTCAATAAAATAATCGCCCACAGCACAAACCTTGTTCGCACGAGTCTGGAACGTGATGACAGTTCATAGGAAAGTGGAAATTTTTGCCAAACTAAATAGTAAAATAAAACGCTAGAGAATAGCAGAATTAATTTTATAACGCAAACAAATGACGGAGACTGCCAGCCAAAGCTATCGCAAACTTATTGCAGACATCATGGCAAATATTGTAGCGATATACTTGTATGTATTTACATATTTATTTCATACACGCGCGACGGCATTTCTACTCTTATTGTTTGGGAATGTATACGATTCGCATTAAGCCGGCTTGTGTATTTACGTATACACATACATACATACATACGTAAATATAACACTTCAAGTGTACATGGTTTTTTCCGTTGACTTCACCATGGTCATCTAGTTTCCTTTTTATATTATGAACTGATTAATCAGAAAAATATAAAATGCATGCAAAATTTATAAAATTGAATTTTGAAAAAAATACTTTTTAAAATCAGGTGCTTACAATTGACTTGCAAGTCAGAAACAAAAATCTAGAAATATTCATAATAATAACCCTAGTTTTAAATAAATGAAGTGAAATAATAACATATTTACACACTGAACAGGATTGGGGAATAACACTTGATTCAACTTGTTTTTGGTGAAGTTGTTTATTACTAATTCATTGTTAAGTGCTATTAACGCCCGATTAGAGATTTTAGATTTTGCTTTATATGCATCAGAGACTTGTTGTCGACCAAAGTTGTTTACCGTTATTTCACAAGCATTTAAATGGGTATGAAAACAATTTTTATTTATTATTGTTACAAAAAGTTTGTGCCGATCCGTCCCACTTATTTTTTTTTTTTTTGCTAAACCTGTGTTTTTGTTATTTTATAACTAATAAGATTATGTTCTTAAAACTGAATGCTTCACGTTATCGTGTTATGGTTGGGTAAATTTTATTGGTTGACGTCAGTAATTATTTGCACGTCTTTGTTTTTAAAACGAAAAATTAGTTAACTACACAATTGTGCGTCTTTAGTTGTATGATATCATCCTTACGGATTTATGTAAACATATTTGTTTTTAACTATGGTGAATTGCGTTTAGAGCTGGCGATAGCAAAAGTTATTAAGCTAGACATTTTCCACACTGTTTACATTATTCTCATTTGCTGCATACACTTCCGTTTAGCATCGGTAAACAATAATATGTAATTCATTTCAACCGTCTGTGTTCTAGCGGTGCATCGTCTTATGAATTTGTGCAAAATAAAATGGAAAAAGTAATTTATTTATATTTTTTCAAGCAAATAACCCTGA